GAACTTCATATGTTTTAAGGAATACCCTGAACTCATTGCAAACATAAACATCAACAAGGTCAGGACACCGACATCTGTAGATGGAAGCTAAGCAGGGAAGTCCTGATTTTTCCGGGGTGTCAGCAATATTAAGTGCTACATCCACCACTTGAAATAATCTCTGTTGCAACTTGGAGCCCCACTTCCTCCTTTCTAAATCAGAGATCTTACTGGTCTGACTCATTTAAAGAGATTGCTAGAGCCGGCCCCACCACTTTCAAGACGGACTAGCTGGAGAAAAATAGTAGGATTCCTAGGAGGCTGTTTACCATAAGGATGGCCAACTTTCCATACAGTCCAGAGGCTCTAAGAGCTGATGGCCCCCAGGGTCTATCAAGTGTTGCATACTACCTAACTCTCCAGCTTAGAACTTTGGGCAGTTGTCAGCTGTCCAGAGGGAGGGCCTCAGTTTGCTGTCCCATCACTAGCACCATCCTTGGGCCTTATCAGGAAAGGGCCCAGTTCAAGTGCAGCACTTATCATACTTTAGACACAGACACACACCCCGTTCACATATGTCTAAATGTGAGCTGGCCTCCATTTCTGTGAAGATGCTAATTAGGCACAATTCCATCCAGGCTTCAGGTTTGCATGGACCCATCCTTGTAGCAGGTACCTAACCTCCAGGTCTGAACATGGCACTCAACGGTCCCTTTGACATTATAAATGCTGGGAAGAATGGCAATTTGGATGGATGGGCACTGCTGGGTGGGTGTGGCGGGAGGCATTAAAGTGAAGAAGCAAGAACAGGTGGTGGTACCTATTTCTGTACCCACTGTGCCGGCACAGCCAAATCACCCTGTGTTTGGTATTTCTACATGTGTGGAACTGTGCAGGCCACAGATACGGCTCACTAGGATGATTATCATTAAACTAGCATTTACCAAGTCATGTGTGGCTGTCATTTGGCAGCTCGTGGACGCCTATTACTTGAAAGCTATTTCCTCTTGCATTTTCAAATTGCAGTTGTTGATACATTTTAATTGTTGATAAACTGTCAGAGCCCTGGTCCCCTGCTAGTGGGACATCATCATGTCCTCTGCAATTCTTTGAAATTCTATTACCTTGTGATTATTCTCTAAGACTACAGAAAAATGAAAGAATCAGCACCAGACTAGGAATCAAATATCCTATGATTTAGTGTCAGGTGTGACTCATAGGGTGAATGCTTGTCAGTAAGTTGACCACGATGACCGAGTTTCCTTTCGTTTTCTCCAGCATCTGAGTCCCTACTATGTTCCGATCACTGTTTCAGGCGCTTACAACCCGTCAGTAAGCAAGAGACGAAGGCCTCTGCCCTTGCAGTGCTCACCCCCTGGCTCACACTCTTCTTCCACAACCCACTGCTGGTAACTCCTACTTCCCACTAATGAAGAATCAGAACTGGAGAGGGAGACATGGGGCAGCTAGACTGGACCAGTGCTGCTCAATACTGTATCCACAAGCCTCATGTGGCCCCTGAGCACTCAATATGGGACACGTTCAGACTGAGATGTGCTCTGAATGTAAAATACACCCTGGATGTCAAGAACTCAGTATGGGGGGGGGGGATATCTCAATATTTTTTATATTGATGATATACGGCGATGCTAACATTTGCTATAATGGGTTAAATACAATTATTAAAATTAGTTTCACCTGCTTATACTTACTTTTTGATGTGAGGACTACTAGAAACATGACTGTGGCTCTCCTGTTTCTACTGGACAGCAGTGGTCTATTACAATGGAGAAACTGAAGCCTAAAGAGGTAGAGGCACATCCTCCCAACCCAAGGTGGCCTCAGAGGCAGGAAGGAGGGAAGTATGGAGACCACAAGGAGGCCTGGTTGCTGGAGACAGCGACAGTGCTAGCTCCCAGCTGAGCAAGCCTGTGCCGAGGCCCTGGATAAGTAACACATGCTCACATACTGACCACTTCATCTCTCCTCTTGCAGCAACCTGACGCTTATTCCATGTCAATGCCACAACTGGCCAAGACCATGCGGGACCAGTGAGCTGCTATGCCCACCTCCTCAGCCACAAGTGCAAGTCAGGGATGAACCGGGTGTGTTTGAGGGTAGGGCATAGACAGCCAGAGGAGATGGAGGATGACCCTTTCTCCCATCCTCATGAGGGCTAAGCCAGGGGAGAGAAGCATATGGCAACACAAGGGAGTGGAAGCAGTTCAAGACTCGTGGGGAATTTTCTTCTCAAAATGGGTCCACAGAGAGTGCATATGGAGACAGGTATGGGACTTTTTGTGTTCATTCAGTTGAAGATTTGAAAGTAGAAACAGAAAACAAGGTACATAGCAGAACTGTAAGGTATTGAAGAGGCAAGTGATGAGATACGGGACCCTCAGATGGGGTAACCTTAGGAGCCTCTCAGAAGGGCCTAAAGCTGGGTCAAAATACAGTTTGGTAAGGAAGGAATAGCATGGATTTGTTAAAATATTTAGGTCTGAGTTCTACGAGGCAAGGTACCAGAGTTAAGAAGACTTCATCCATGGGAAATGGAGAATAAACATAAGGTCAGAAAGGTACACAGGTCCTGAAAAGCACCTGGGCTTCCCGAAGGATGGGCAGTTCCTGGGAGTTCTTCAGGTGGTGTTCGAGGGGCATGGGACATGGAACTGGCCAGAGGCAGGAGGAGAACCCCGCTACTGCTCTCTGGAGTTGCTGTCTGCAGGGCCCTGAACCAGGTCAGTGATGGCAGTGGGAAACAAAGTTAAAAAGATAAAAGATCAGCAGAACTAGCAGCCGAGTGAACTAGAGAGAAAAAGGCTGAGTGAGCCACGTGAGGCTGGCGTCGGGGTGGATGGGCAGGAAGGACAGGGTGGGAAGTGCTGGAGGACAGCAGGTCTGGAGCTCAGCTGAAGGAGCTTCAGCTGCGGGCCAATTAGTAGGCACTGCCCCTCGGCTCTGAACCTACTAAAAGGAGGCCACCATTTAGGGAAAGGCCTGGAAACCACTCGGCATTTTAGGCTGGAAGCTTCCAACCCAAAAAGCTTCCAGCACCTTAGCCCACCAGAATGAATCCACCGCAAGTATATTTCCCTCGCTGAGAGGAATGGCAGCTGAATGCACTGTATCCAATCAACAGGAGCACCTTCTGTGGCCCAGGCTCTGCTCCAGACGCTGGGGATTCAGCAGTGAGCACAGATCCCTGCTTTCCTGGGGCTCACATGCCAGTGGCTAAGACAAACGAGCAAAATCCGAGTGCCCGTACATTCTGAGGCTGTCCCAGCTCCTCCTGCATCCTGAGCACTTCCACAGGCCTTTTTACATACCACTGCCTTGGCCTCCTCGGCACCTGGCACTAGCCACTGCCTGGGAAGCATTTAACTACTTACTGACTCAATCACAGTTATCCAAGAAATAAACATTTTATGCAGTTTAGTGACCAAGCCTCCAAAAGGCTCTGAGACTGAAAAATACCCTGGACGGAGTTACTTAACATCAGCAATTATTTCCTCATATTCGTTTTTTTTTTTTTTTCCTGTTGTTCCAAGAAGTTCTGCAAACAGTTCTAAGACAGGCTAGAGGGACCAGCTGTACAAAATCTATTGATTCTCAACAATTCATAAGGCTGCTTCTTACATAGCTGGGCTATGCAAAGATGCTTCATCTACACCATCTAAATTCCAAATACGAGCTTCCTTAAAATGCACACAGTAGATGGACAAAAAGGCTTGAGACCAAAAGTCTGGGAAGCATCATAGAAGATCAACACTATGGCTGTACCCAACTGGCTTTTTTTAAACACATGAACATTTCTTTAGACACAGAGGTGGCTGCTTCATCATAATATAGCTTATGCCAACTTGATAGGCCATAGTCAAAACACCAAGATGACACAACACATTTTTCTATATTACCTGTGTACTCCAGTGACATCACAAAAAAAGCAATGGACCTTATCTAACCAGAGTAATGTTTTATCTCAAGTAACACCTCAGGTTCTACATTACTTCCCTTTATCCCCTTAATGCCTGTGTGTGTGCGTATGCGCGCGCGCACACACGCACACGCACACACACACACACACACACACACACAGCCCAGAGATCTGGCAGGGGACCAAGAAACCCAAACACAACAACACAAGTTTAAACTTAACTCACGAAACTAGTCTTGGGTTTCCACAATGTCTCTTGGTAACACACATACAAAAAAAAGTTTACCACATCCAGTCAGAGCTCCTGGCTCGTCATTCTTTGTGACTGGCCCCAGGCACACAATACATCAGAGATGAAAGATGAAGACAAGGTATGACTTATTTGAGCGGTTAAAAAAAAAAACAAAACATGTCGTTTGCTAACTTTGTATCAAATGTGTCCCATTCTTGGCCCCGGGAGAACAAGGACACTACAGTCTCCTCTATGTTATCTTTATTGCTAGGCAGGTCCTTGGATTTACAGAAGTACAGGACTTCTCTGTTCTTTGATGGGTAGTGCAAGATGTGCACAATTTGCCCTGGCCTTGAACACTGGGGGGTATAGGCTATGTGGGGCACATTGGGAAATGCAGAGGTGAGAGGGTTCTGTAACTCAGGATGGGGTCTCAGTGAGCTACTTGTACTCATGGAACAGCCAAGGGAACCAAGGAGGGAGAACCACTGGTGCTCAACTAAATCACACTCATTCTAGCAAACAGGCAAGATCCACGTCCTTTCCTGCAGAGGAACCCCAGCTTAATCTCTGGATATAAGGGAGGTATATGGTGGAAGAAACTTAACCCAATGGGTGTTGTTGTGAGCTCTAGGGACAGACACGGTCATGAAATCACAGAGCTTTATTTTGAGTAACAATTTAGAGGCCTCCTTAGCTGAGGGGGGAAAAAGTGTGTGTGTGTGTTTAACTTTCACATTATATAATGGGACTCTCCCTACAGCCACCTGAACAAAAATATACAATATACCAAAACCTTCTTTCTAAAGACTCCTTATTGAGAATAAATGTACTCTAAAGATATGGGTATACCTTAAGACACAAGGTTTCAGTTATCTCAAGTAAAACCTTGACTCCAGAGATATTAAGTTTTCCATCTTCACAAACAAGAATGTCAAAGGACAGAACCCCTGCTGGTCCAGCTCAGACTGCCTCCCTGAAAGCGAAGAGAAAAGTCAGCACTCTCTAGTTCCCCACCCCACCCCCTCCACCGATGGCTGGCCGGGTCTCTTGTGTGGTGGGTCTCACCCCCTCAAGACACAGCACAATTCTTGGTAAGTGCTCCTACCCCAACCCCCCACCTTCTCCCCACCCTCCACCCCCACCACACACACCACCCCTGGGCAGCCCCAGGCTGCCTGGCTTGCTTCCTTGTGGGCTTCCTTGCCAAGTTACTCCCGTGGAAAGGTTAGTGTAGCCAACAATGGGCACTCTCATCAACCCCCTTCCCCATGAAGGGCAGCTGGGCCAAGCCAGGAATCTACTTTAGAAGAATCTAATAATCTTTATTTCCTGGGGAGGTTCAGGTTCCTGACCCACCTACCAAATATCCTGAACACTGTCACAATACGAATGGTCACAACAGTCTTTATAAAGGCCGACTGTAAGAACGGCACTTAAAGCCCTCCTTTGCTTGCATGTTACTCGCCCATTAAAAAGAAAAAGTTGAAAAGGTAGCAGCAGGTCGCCACCCCAGACAAGGATGTAGCCTTGCAGAAGCCTTCCTCCAGGGTAAAAGGAGGGAAGGGGACTGAGCTCATGCCCCCCGCGAGGTCCAGTCCTAACGAATCGGTTTTAGCGGGGCTGGGTGGGTGAGCTCGAGTTCCCCAGGGAAGCTCGCCAGCCTTCTCCCCGCCAGTCCTCCCTGACTTTGAGGGGGCGCAGTCCTGTGTCCTCGCGCCCCCGTCCCCATCCGCCTTCGGTGTTGAGCCGCCCAGCTACCAACCTGTACCGGCCAGGTTCAGGCCCGTCGCCCTCCGCCGACTCCCCTCCCACCTCTGCGATCTGGGGCGGCCCCCGCGGCCCCGCCAGCCCAGGCTGCTGCTCGTCAGCGCTCTTTACAGGGCGGGCAAGTTTCATCCCTAACGGGGGAGGGACCAGGCAGGACGCGGTCGCCAATCCCGGGCAGTCTCCAGGACCTGCGGCGCGCGGACGTCCCTCGCTCGGACCACGGGGCTGCTCTCGGGGCCCACCGTCCAGCGTGAGTCCTCGGGAAGCCAGAGCCTCTGCCCTGACCTCAAAACCCCGGGCCTGGCGCCCAGCGGGGGAAGCGCCGGCGCCCCCGCCCTGCCGGCCTGCTCCGCCTCCAACTGCGCCTCCCGAAACCGCCGCATTCGAACTCGCGCTCGGCGGGCCTGCGGGGTGTGCGCGCCCGCGGGGGGCGCGGGCAGGGCGCGGGCAGGGCGCGGGCAGGGCGCGGGGGCGCCGGCGGGCGGGGGCGCAAGCTCTCCGGCCGCCCCGCCCGCGCCGGCCAGAACGCAGCCCGCGGGACGCGCGGAGCAGGAACTCGCCCAAGTTTGCCAAGCCCCGGCCGAAGTCTCTGGAAAGTTGCAGCTCCCTCTCCGGGCGTCACGCCTGGTCCTCGGGGGGCGGGGGATGAGTGTGTGCGCGCGGGGTGCGTCCGGGGGCTGCAGGGCCGCGAGCACCTGTCCGTGCCCCCCCCGGCCCCCCACCCCACCCGGCTCTGGGAAGCCCCGAGCTCCGCTCGGCCGGGACCGACCCCCGCCCCCGAAGGCAGGGCGCGCGGCGCTCCGGGGCCGCCGCATCCTCGCACCTGTAGGGCAGGGGGCCGGGGACTCACCTGGGCGGCGGAAGCGGCGACGACAGAGGCAGGTCCTCGGCGCGGGCAGCCCCGGCAGGAGCGGCGCGGTCCCTGCAGCCCCCAGGCAGCGGCACCGAGAGAGCGGCCCCGCCGCCGCCCCCTCCGTTCTTATACGGCCTGGCCACGCCCCCGCCCGCCGCCTCCGCCCCGCCCCCGCCCCAAGCCCGCCCTCCCCGGGGAGCGCGGGGCGGGGGCGGGGCGGAGCCAGCGCCCACGGGGTCCTTCGGCCGGGCGCTGACGGCGAGGGCAGGGCGCACGGGGCCCTCTGATTGGCTCCTCGGCTGAATGGTTGCCGAGAGACGAGTAAATCCTCGGCGGCGGGAAGGGGCGGGGCGGCCAGGGCGGTGGCGCTGCGCAGGCGCAGTGGAGGGGGGCTGGGCTGGCTCGCCCGCCCCTAACCCGGAGTCCCCGGGACTCTTCCTACTCTCCGCCGGGCTCCTGCCGCCGTCGCCCCCGTCGCCTCTTCCTCCCGTCTCCGTCCTGCTCCCCCGCAGGCCCGCTTTTCTCTTGCTTCTCCGGGGATCTTCGCTTTGCTTCTCTTCTCTCCGGAGCGAGCAGTGACACCCCGACGCCTACGTCCCGCGTGTGTTTTCAAGTCTGGAAACAGACAAACAAACAAACAAACAAAACAGCGTGTGGTTTGTGAGCCAAGGAAGCCTTCCTCTTTCCCCCAAGCAAATTGCCTGGCGGCTGGCCCTCTGCCCGCAGGCTGCACTGCACCTGTGTGTGGTTAGCGGGTGCGGGCCTCGAGGAGTCCCGTCGCCCAGGCTGACGACTGCGACCGCTTGGCCGCGCTCCCAGGGGCCGCGTGTATTACATAAGGTGCGAGCGGCGCCTGGACACCAGCCGCCGGTTCCATAGCAAGCGGCTTGGAGTCCAGGTTCTAAACTCAGATCAATGTGGGCTGGGATCTCCGCTCACCACCCATCTATCTGCAAGGCCTTGGGCAACGACTTAACTCTCCCCGTAAACCTGGTTCCTCACCTGTATGATGAGGCTAAAACTAGAGCAGCTTCCTAGGCTTATGTGAGCCTTGAACAAGAACATGGAAAGCTATTAGTGCAGTGTCCCACGCAAATTGTGTGGCAAGTGTTGCTCATATCAAATAGTAGCTGTGCTTAGTGATCAATAAACGTTTACTGAGCTTGTGCCGATCCCCTACCGGGTGGTGGAGAGAAAGGTTACTTCCCAGGTGCGGGATTTCCCTATCGCTCCCCTTGAGACCCTGCCTGACATATCCGTGTCTGCCAAGATCTCAAGAGCTCTCTGGGGGCAGGGGGAAGTCTCCCGGAAGGCTGATGAGATAGGAGATCAGCATGCCTCCTTGGGGGAAAGCAACAGTGATTCTATTGTTGGACATGAAATCAGGGTGTATGGTCTGGTTTTTTACTCTTCACCCTTTGAGATATACATTCAGGATAGTGCACAAAGCTGGGGTTACACAATGATGGATTTCTATGTATGTGTACACTCATGTATCTCCAGCTTCCTCATGCCCCTTCCCATTCCGTGTCCCTCAAGGGTCAACACTGTTCTGACCTCTATCACCACAGGTTAGTTTTCCAGGGTTTGAACTGGATGTGCATGAATTACATGTCTGTGCATTTTTGTGTCCATCTCCTTTCACTTAACGGTGTGTCTATAATATTCATCCATTTTGTCCATGTAACAATAGTTCATTCTTTTCCATTGTATATTATTTAATTGTATAAATATTCAATAATTTATATACTCTTCCTACTGGTAGATGTTTGGGTTGCATCAAGTTCTTGTCTATCCTGAATGAAGCTGCTACAAACTATCTTTTTTTTCTAGCTTCATTGAAATGTAGTTGGCAATTAAAAATTAGGTACATTTAAGGCGTACTACATGATGCTTTAATGTACATTGTGAAATGATTACCACAACCAACCTAGCCATTACCTCCCATAGTTACCACGTGTGTATGTGTAGTGCAAATGCTTAATATCAAACTCTCTTTTGCAAATTTCAGTTATATAATACAGTACTATTAATTATAGTCACCGTGGTGTACATTAGATCCCCAGAATTTATTCATCTGGCATAACTGTACCTTTATACCCTCAGGCCTATGTATACAGGATTGGAATTGCAGAATCACAGAGTATATACATATTAAGCTTTAAATGTATTGCCAAATGGTTTACTCAAGTGGTATAACAATTCGTATTCCAATTAGCGATGTGAGATTTCCGGTTGCTCCACATCTTTGCCAGTATTGGTATATATGCCCAAATATCTTCTCCCAGTCTGTGATTTTCTTTTCATTCTCTGAATGCTATCTTTTGACAAATAGAAATTCTTAAGTTTAAAGGAGTCTAATTTGTTAATCTTATATTTTAGGACTGGGGCTTTCATGTCCTGTTTGAAAAATCATTGCCTGGTGTTGAGGCCGTAGGGGTCATTGCCTTTATTTTCTTCTAGGAACTTGATTGCTTTAACCTTCACAGTTAGGTCTATGATTCATCACACATTAATTTGTTGGGCAGCTTGGGGTCGAGATTTATTTTTTCTCATTTGGAATTCAGTTGGCTCAGCACCAATGGCAAACAGTTTTGCTGAATGAATGAATGAATGAATGAATGAATGAATGAATATTTGTTGAATGAAAGAATCATTTAAGAGAATAAAGCAACCAGTTACTTAGAAACCAGAATGTCTAGGGGGGAAAAAAAAGGACACTTGATCATAATAAACTTAATGCAAAATTTTATATTACATTAACTCTTGGACCATTTCTATTTTTTCAGTCCCTTGTGGATATCATTAGCAAAAGTAGCCTAAGGTAGAACACAGTTCAGAAATTCTTACCTAGAATTTGACCTGGCATGGTTTGCTTTTACCTTTGTGTAGGTAAAATTTTCTTCAGCTTCCTGACCAGTAGGTGACTTTGACAACTGGGGCGGGGTGGGGGGGCGGTGTTGGGCAGGGAGAACCAAGAGCCAGAGAAGAAATTAATTATTCATATGTGTGTATGTATTTTTTCTTGGTTCCCTTTTTATTCTTGAGGCATTACTTGCCTTTTCTAGAATTTTGTTTCTGATTTTGTTTGTTTGTCCGTTTTGTTTCCTAAAATACACAGTGTTCTTTCTACCTCATAAAACTGTGGCATTCAAGAGCTGGAAGGAGTCTCAAGAAGTCATTGCCCATTGGACACGGGACCAGATATTGAAACTGTCTTTCCAAGATTATTGGAACCTCCTTGCCAAACTCCAGCTTCTGCCAGAACAAACACACCCAACCAAAATGGTTTAAAGACCTTACCATTCTGAGGTACTTTATCTATACCTACAAAAGCTAAGGAAATGCCAGTGTGCCTTACTTGTGGCCATGACTCTGAAAATGTTTTATGTCCCAACAGAATCTTATTTTAAATAAGACATCTGTCACCAATTACTTTTGTAAAGCAAAAACACACACACACACACACACACAAACAAAACCCCACTTCTAGTTTGTGCTCAGATATCCTCATGCAGTAGTTTCATAAGTCGTAAGATTTTGTAGTACCTTATCTCGAGATGGATTATTGTGATAAACACTTATTAAACTACCCTCCTCTAAAAATCTTTCTTAAAAAGATTCTTAAGTAAAGGTTTGATTGTGTATACTGACACATAGAGAACTGCACAAGTCATAAAAACTCAGCTCAATGAACTTTCACAAACTGCATACACCTGTGTCATTAGCATGTAACTCAAGAAGCAAAGGAGCACCACTACACTGTGGGCCTATTTTAAAACCACCGCAGTGGCATTGTCTACATCCTGATGAGTCTTTGGTAAGGCCAAAGCATGACCTGGCTTCCTGCTTCCTACCTAGAAACCATGCCAGTCAATCTCTATCTCTTCGCAGGCTCCCTCAAGCTGATATTTCTTTTCTTGGGTGTTGCAGAAAGAGAATGAGGTTTGGAGTAAAAAGGTATATGTTCTATTTAGAGCCAACCACAGGAATAATGGAGCTGAGACTAGTCAGATTTGATGGGGCAGGGAGGAAAGAGCTGGCTGCATCTTCGGGCAGCGATCTAGCAGACTCAAGCATGACACAGCTCCGGAGACTCTGGGGAACTGAGGCAGCCTGAAAAGAGTAGAGGGGCCCAGAAAGGGGGAGAGGGTGATGGTGGCACTGCCAAAGAAAGGAAGATGCCCAATTTGAGAGGTGCTAACCTCGGCTCTCTGAGCTACTGTCTCTACACACCCTTCCTGCCCAACTCCCTGACGATGTCACTAGGGAAAGGATGGGTTTCATCAGATGGCTGGTACACCCCTGTCAGATGGCTCAACCTCTCTGAGTGTTAGCTTCCAAATCCAAAAATCCAAAAAAAAGGATAAGTAACCTCTGCTTAGTGCTGGTATGCCCCGATCAAATGAGGGAGTGAATGCATAAGAAAACAGTTGTCTTTTTACAGTGTTTCTCTCCCTTTGCCAACCATGGTCCCTTTCTCATGGTTTACTGTCAGGATGGCTTGGCAAGCAGGTCAGATGAGAACAGAGGAGGGGATATTCTCAACACTTTGTTGTGGCTGCCTTCACTTCTGGGGCTCCAGATTTCTTATCTGAGGATTAACGTTTTCAAATCCTCCTTCAGGGAAAAGGGATTCTGTGTAAGTAAATTGTCAGCTGATCATTTCATATCTCCTGTGTGCACTCTGAAGCTGTCTTACCTTCAGATCCTGGATGTCTGTCTCACCAGCTGTTGTAACGCCTGAAATTCCCGGCACTGGAGTCCATGCCTGCTAGGGAAGAGACTCCCACCCTTCCCACAGAGTCGGCCAGGGGAAGAAGATGCCCATTTGCTAGGAACGGCTACCTTGCCTGCCAGCTGTGGTTCTCAGTGTTCAAACACTGATCTCCTGGTCCTCACATCAGCCCGGATTTTTCAGTTGCAGGCATTCAAAAATGACTTTGGAAGATTTAGGCAAAATGGAATTTACTTAAAAGATATTGGGGAACCCACAGCATCAAAAGGCTGGCTGGAGAACTTTGCCATTTGCCTTTGCTACCAGGAACAAAACTCAAGGATCATCTTGCAGA